TGCTTCTCCCTCTCCCACTCCCCCTGCTTGTGTTCCCTCTCTCGCTGTGTCTCTCTCTGTCAAATAAATAAATAAAATCTTTAAAATAAAAAAAATAGCCAAAACAATCTTGACAAATTTGTCAAGAAGAATTTGTTCAGGAGAACAAACTGGAGAACTCACATGTCCTGACTTCAAACTTGCTACAAAGCTACAGTATCAAAATGGGAGGAACTGGCATGATAATACACATACAGAGCAAATGAACAGAATTGAGAGTCCAGAAATAAACCCATACATCTATGGTCAAATGATGTTCAACAAGGGTGCCAAGATGATTCAATGGGAGAAAAAAAATGGTCTCTTCAACAAATGGTATTGGAACTGGATATCCACAAGCAAATGAATGAAAATGGACCCCTTCCTCATATCATATACAAAAATTAACTCAAAATAGATCAAAGACCTAAATGTAAGAGCTAGAAACTCTAACACTCTTAGGAAAAAACAGGAGTGAATCTTCACAATCTTAGACTGACAGTGGATTCTTAGATATGACATCAAAAGCAAACACAACAAAGGAAAAGAGATAAACAGACTTTACCAAATTAAAACCTTTTGTGAATCAAAGGATATACTTTCAAGAGAATTAAAAGAGACAACTCACAGAATGGGAAGAAATATTTGAAAATCATATATCTGATAAAAATCTAGTACCCAAAATACTCTTACAATAAATCCAATTTAAAAATGGGCCCAGGATTTGAATGGACATGTCTGCAAAGCAGATATACAAATATCCAACAAGCACATGAAAAGGTACTCATTAGTCATTAGGGAAAAGCAAATCAAAACCACAATGAGATACTACTTCACACCCACTGGGATGGCTATAATAAAAAGATAACAAGCATTGTCAATAATGAGGAGAAACGAACTCTCATACATTGTTGGTAGAAATATAAAATTGTGCAGGCACTGTGAAAAAGTTTGGCTGTTCCTCAGTAAGTTAAAACTACAACTAAGGTATGATCCAGCATTTTCACTTCTCAGTAAATACCCGGAAGAACCAGAGACATGTATTCCAGCAAAACTTGCACGTGAATGTTCAGAGCAGCACTATTCACAATAGTGGTAAAGCAGAAACAAGCCAAATGTCCATTAAGCAGTAAATGGAAAAACAATGTGGTCCATCTATACTGCGGAATATTCTTCAGCAATAAAAAAGGAATGAAGTCTTGGTAAAAAGGTACAAACATTCAACTGTAAAATGAAGGTCTGAGAATCTAATGTATAACATGGTGACTATAGTTGATATCACTGTATTGTACAAATAAAATTTGCTGAGAGAACTTATTAAATGTTCTCACCAAAAAAAAAAAAAAAAAAAAAGAAATAAAGAAATATCTGAGGTGATGGATGTGTTAGATTAGATGGGAGGAGTCCTCTCACAATGTATACAAATACCAAAATCATCACGATGTTCACTACATATCTTACAGTTTTGTCAAATATACCTTAATAAAGCTGGAAAAGAAAAAGAACGAAGTCTGTAACATGTTCCAATATGGATGAAGTTTAAAAACATTATACTAAGTGAAGGAAGACACACAAAAAAAATACATACTGTATGATTATATGCATATAAAAGATCCAGAAGAGGCAAGTCCATACTGACAGAAAGTAGATTAGTGGTTGTCAGGGTCTGGGAATTTTGGAGTTATTTTAAGGACATGCAGTCAATTTATTCTATAGAAGTTTTAGGTTTTATCAAGGGAAAACAAAATCAAACCAAGACCATGGGAAAGCTGTCTACATGGGCTTCAGTAATACAGTCTCCTAAAAAGCCTCATTAACTGGGTTCTGCTTGGTACTCTGTCTTTTGCTTCCACTGAAGGATAATTATAGGCATTTAGTTCATGGTTTGTCACCAGAAGGTTGTTCATCATTTATATAAACAGAAACAAAAGTTTTTTATTCAGCTCTTGATGCCAGAAAGTCTTTAGGTTCCAAAAGAAATTGGGATGCTTCACACATGTGTTTTTTTTTTTTCCCAGGGGCACGAGGGGAGTCATGGCTAAAAGGTCAGAAATAGGGGTGCCTGGGTGGCTCAGTCGTTAGGTGTTTGTCTTTGGCTCAGGTCATGATCCCAGGGTCCTGGGATCAAACCCTGCATCAGGCTCCCTGCTCTGCGGGAAGCCTGCTTCTCCCTCTCCCACTCCCCCTGCTTGTGTTCCCTCTCTCGCTGTGTCTTTCTCTGTCAAATAAAATCTTTAAAAAAAAATAAAATAAAATAAAAGGTCAGAAATATTTGCAAGTTAAGTCTGATAACCATCTAACTTCATATGATCCGTGTGTGTGTGTGTGTGTGTATGTGTCTCCTTGCCACCTTTGCCCTATTGATCGGCTAATCCAATGCTACTAGTCTATAGACCTCAGTATCACCTGCAACCTTGTTCAAAATGAAAATTCTCAAAAAAAAAAAAAAGAAAATTCTCAGGCCCCATTCTATGGTTTAAAACACTTCACAGTTTTGATCTGATGCACACTAAAGTTTGAGAACCACTGTATCATGCTGTTCCCCTCAGGTTCATTTTATCTATTTCTACTTTTCTATTTCAAATATGAATCATTATCCTCATAAGATCCATTGTAAAACAAAGCAGAAAATGATTTCAACAACTCACACAGGACTTCTTCATATTTTGCTGGTCTCTCTTGGAAAAATGTAGAAATCTCTGAAGGCAGAGCTGGGATAGAAAAGGAGGAATGAAGTCATTAGAGGTACAGACTGTCTTGCAGTTCCTGGACTTGCCTTCTTAAAAAGCTGCAAACATCACCTGGGTGAAATGCCTCTCTGTGGGAGAATACCCTTTTCACCTTGCAGAAGGGGCAGGAAACGACACATGATAAAGCACCCAAATGACCACGTATGACTGTGATTTGGCCATGCAGAGGTTGGGTGTGCAATTTTTCACTGGGTGTATGGAACTGTTGTCTAGGACATTTTTAAACAATGTCTGTACCCCTCTGTTCTGTTTCAAAGTAATTTTAAAAATGAGAAAATTGGTTAAGCAAATTACAATACGTTAAATGAAGGAACACTAAACCTTCAGTAGAGGTTGTACAACAAAAGTTGTTACATGTATATTTCCTTGTTTACTTCTCAAGTTAGAGAACACAACCAAAGCTACAAAAAAAAGGATGGAGGCACTTTCAGGTAAGGGTACTTTTTAATTGTTTTTTTTAAATTTTATTTTAAAGATTATTTATTTATTTATTTGACAGAGAGAGAGAGAGAGACAGTGAGAGGAAACACACGCAGGGGGAGTGGGAGAGGGAGAAGCAGGCTTCCCGCCGAGCAGGGAGCCCGATGTGGGGCTCGATCCCAGCACCCTGGGATCATGACCTGAGCCGAAGGCAGATGCTTAATGACAGAGCCACCCAGGCGCCCCTTTTTAAGTGTTTTTTTAAAGCACATGCAGATTCTCAAATGGCTGTCTTTTAAGGAATGTGTTTTACCAGTGATGATGTGGTCAGCATGGACTGGGGTGGGGAGACTCAACACCTCCTCTGGGTTCTACCCCAACACAAAGCCAGAGAAATTCACTTACCCTCTCAGCACCAATTTCTCAACTTTCAAGAAGAAAAATAAACAACTCTTCTTGTATTGCTGTCCTATAAAGAACTCATCAGCACATCTTTAAATGCCAGATTCAAAGAGCTCAGAATCTGGGAAGAGTGAAAAATAAAGAGTGGGAGTTGAACTGGGATTGTTGAGACAAAACTGCCTCACATCTACTTTTAAGGCCTTTTCCCACAATCCCAGGAATGCCTCCAGTGAAGTTCTATTTTCCATGTCACCTACCTGTCCTTCACTCCTTCCCACCTGGCTGGCCTGGTCCCGGCTTCCCTCCATTAGGCAGCCTGGGAGCTTCTGAATGTGGCAACATTTTCAAATCTCATTCGTTCTGAACAGGCTGTGAAAACCTAGGATCTGCTCCTCTCTGAGAAATACACTGCCTCTGCTTAAAATTCACTCAAGAGGTGCCTGGGGGGTTCGGTCGGTTAAGCGACCAACTCAATCTCAATTCAGGTCTTGATCTCAGGGTCATGAGCTCAAGTCCCGCACTGAGCCTACTTTAAAAAAAAAGAAAGGAAAAAAAAACCTCAAATAGTGGGATGGTTCTCTCCACCTAACATTATGTATTTAGAGACGACTCCTTCTTACTTCGCTTTTCTAACGTAGATGAAAAATGCACCTGAGGGGCAAATTCATTTTTACTGGAATTGTCACCCAGGCCCACAGTTCAATATTCCATAGATTCTCAGGTCAGACCTTCCATAAACTCAAATCAAGGCTGCTGAGAACTGTTACAAACCTAACTCAGATACAATTATACTGTCTCTATCAAAGGCTCTGAAGACATCTAGAAATCCCAGAAAAAAAAATACTACATGGTTAAGATTCAATCGTTCAAACAGTTTCTTCACATGCCGAATTATTTCCGCTAAGTACTGTGCCCAAGACAGCAAGCTGCAAAGAACATGACATTTGGAGAAACAACTAAAATTGTCTTGTTGGGGCGCCTGGGTGGTTCAGATGGTTAAGCATCTGCCTTCGGCTCAGGTCACGATCTCAGGGGCCTGGAATCCAAAGCCGCATCAGGCTCCCTGCTTCCTGCAGAGCCTGCTTCTCCCTCTCCCTCTGCCATTCCCTCTGCTTGTGTTCCCTGGCTCTCTCTCTCTGTCCAATAAATAAATAAAATCTTAAAAAATAAAAATTAAAAAAATAAATAAAATTGTCTTCTGGTGGGCGCCTAGCTGGCTCAGTCGGTTAAGGGCTGCCTTCAGTTCAGGTCATGATCTTGGGGTCCTGGGATCGAGTCCTTGGGTTGGGCTCCCTTCTCAGCGGGGAGTCTGATTCTCCCTCTCCCTCCGCCCCTCACCCCGTTCATGCGCCCTCCCTCTCTCTCAAATAAATAAATAAAATCTTTAAAAAATAAAATTGAAAAATAAAAAAATAAAACTGCCTTCTAGTTTATCTGCTAGTGTTGTGACATAGGGTATATAACATTCCTCTCCATCTCAGTTTTCTAATTTGTTACAGCAGAGAGAGCTATACCGACCTAAGTGAGAGGTTGTGAGCATGAAGTAACCAGTGAGAAGAAATAGTCTATTAACAACAGCAGCTAATATTTACTGCTAGGCACTGAGCTACAGAATTTAATCCTCTAAACAACCCCATGAGGCAGGTGTTATTAATATCTTCAGTTTTACAGACGTAAAGCCTCACGGAGGTTATCGTTCCCAGATGATACTTTTATACTCTGTTCAGCCCTACATAAATCAAAGCACCCGCTCAACTCCCGCCGCTCTAGGACCGAGCGCACCCATTGCGCATGCGCAACGCGCGCTCCTCCCGCGACCGCATAAACCACGCCGCGGGATCCACGCGGAGTCCGCATCCTCCCCCGGGTGCGGAGTCCCTGCCTCCCTGCCTCCCTGCCTCCCAGCCTCCCAGCCTCCCAAGCCGATTCCTCCCCCTAATAGAGATTCTCCGGTCCTGTGGTCCCTCCACTCGGCCGACGCCTCCTCGTACCCAGTCTCTCGGGTAGAATAGCCGAGGGTCCCGCCAGGGTCCGCGAGCCTCTTCCCTACTGCCAGGCATCGCCGCCCCCGCCCGCTTCCTGGAGCCACGCAGGGACCCTCTCGAATCTCCCCAACCCTCTGGTCTCGCCCCTCCTCCCACTCGGGCCGCACCAACTCCCAAACCGGCATGCAGACCTCCAGAATCCTGAACATTCCGGACCGTCTCCCACCGTATGCCGGAACATCTAAAAGAGCCTGCGAGGTACTGCGCATGCGCAGGAGGGGCCGCAGAAGACCAGCTCCCATGACCACGTGCGGCGGGCTCACAAACTTCCGGACTTCAGATCCCATAAGCCTGCTCGCCCAGGACTTTGGGGAATTTCGGAAACGTTTCTTTACCAATTCAGAGATGGTAGCATGGGGTTGTCGCTTCTGTAGGCAGCCCTGAATTTTTTCAGTACCTCGAAGAAATAGTCTCACAACCAGTGTGCCTTTTTGAACGCCAAGCGACCAAAGGAGGCAAAAATGTAAATCAATGTGCGTTATGAATAGAAGTAGAAAGGGTACCTTACATACTAGAAAGCTAAACGAATTAGATACTAGGAAATGCTAGCAATAAAATAAAAATAATACAGTTTCAAAGTAAACAATAGATAAAATAATAGCATTTCAGCAGCGAAGAAGGTAAGCAACTAGGACCTTCAAATGTCAAATAAAAATAAATCCAGACTTCGGTAAGGAGAAACTTTTTTCAAAAAGACTTGCAATCGGAACAATGCTCTGACTTCAGGATCTGAAAGCATCTCAAAATCAAATAGAAAAAGGCTTCTCTGGGGCACCTGGCTGGCTCAGTTGGGGGAGTTTGTGATTCGATCTCAGGGTTTTAAGTTCCAGCCCGATGTTGGGTGTAGAGATTACTTAAATAAGTAAATAAACTTTAGAAAAAGACTTTTCTTTTAGAGGGAGGAGTAAGATGGGTCAGCAGGAACTTTTGAGAGGAAACTGGGCAAGTGAGTGGGGGAGGTGAGCAAAATGCATGATGGGGTAGTCTGACGTGAAATGTTCCCACTGTGGTCAGCGGAGCTGTTAACGGTGCTTGCTCAGACCTGGGGACAAAACAAAATTCAGGACCTTGTGAATGGAAACAAAGCCTGACCAAATAGTCAAGGTAAGTCAGTGTGAACCTGACCTATAAAAAAATCCTAAAAGACATCCTTTAGCATGAAAAGGAAGGCGTTAGACATTAGATAGTAACTTGAAGCCATATTAAGAAAATAAAGAGTACCAATAAAGATAACTACATAGGTAAATATAAAAAACCAGTATCATGTATTTTTTTAGTAACTCCTCTGTTTCTCGTGTAAGGTAAAAGACAAATGCACCAATGATAAGTATAAAACAATGTTCATACCAAGAAACACATAAATTACCAAAACTGAAGAAGAAATAGAAAACCTCAACAGATTCATAACAAATAGAAATTGAATCAGAAATGAAAAACCCCAACAAAGAAGAGCCTACTATCAGATGGCTTTACTGGTGAATGCAACCAAATATTTAAAAGAATAATTAACATCAATCCTTTCCCAACTCTCCCATAAAATAATGAAGGAGAGAACACTTCACTCATTCTATGATGCCAGCATTCTCCGTATTCAAAACAAACAACAAAGACATCACAAAGAAAAACTACAGATGAAAATTATCAGTATAGTTATAAAAATCCTCAACAAAATACTAGCAAACACACACACACACTCTCTCTCTCTCTCTCTCTACTAGCACTGATATATGAATTAGGTTAAGTTTTAAGATACAAGATCAATACTGAAAAAATCACTTGTGTTTCTATACAGCAGCAATGAATAATCTGAAAAGGAAATTAGGAAATTCCATTTCCAAAGGCATACAAAAGCATAAAATACCTAGGAATAATCTTAAGAAGGAGATAAAGAAATTATACACTGAAATCTGTAAAACATTGCTGAAAGAATTGAAGTAGACTGAAATAAATGGAAAGACATTCCATGTTCATGTTATGGAAGACATAATGTTAAGATGGCAATATTACTCAAAGCAATCTACAGATTCAATGCACTATCCATCAAAATTCCAACAGCCATTTTGCAGAAATGAAAAAACCGATCCTCAAATTCATAAGGAAATATGAAGCATCTCAAATAGCCAAAGCAATGTTGAAAACAAAGTTGAATGACTCACACTGCATGGTTTCTAAACCTACTACACAGCTACATAAAAGAGAACAGTGTGGTGCTGCTTTAAGGATACACCTACAGAATAATGAATAGAATTGAAGGTCCAGAAATAACCACATACACCCATGGCCAACTCATTTCTGACAGTACGTACTGGCAAATAAAGACAAAGATGAATAGAACAGAATAGAAACCAACACAAATACAGTCAACTGATGATTTTGGCAAAAGAGCAAAGGCAATTAATTTAATGGAGAAAGGACAGTTTTTCAACAAATAATGCTGGAACAATAGGACAAACAAATGCAAAAGAAATGAATCTAGACATAAAACTTACACTTTTCACAAAAATTAACTCAAAGTGGACCATAGACCTAAATGTAAAACCGCAAACTAAAAACCTAGAAGAAGAAAGGTGAAAATCTAAGAGATTTTGGTGATATATTTTTATATACAACACAAAAGTATCATCCATGAAACAAAAAAATGGGCAAGTGGGACTTTATTAACATCAAAAACGTCTACTCTGTGGAAGACAGTGCTAAGCAAATGAAAAGACAACAGAATAGGAGAAAATATTTGCTAAACACATATCTGATAAAGAATTTGCCAAAAAAGAGAAGAATTTGCATCTAAACCATACATAGTGTTCCTAAAACACAATAAAAGAGCAATCCAATTATTGTATATTAAAGTATATTCTGAGAAATAACAAAATGTAAATATTTAAAATATCACATATTGTTATGACATGTTGAGATTGGCAAACATTTAAAAAATCATATGAGAAGTGTAAATACTAGGAGATATCCAGGTTCGATGTGGATTTGGGCAACTGGGTATTTCTACCAAATTTTTGTGTAAGTACTAACTTTCTAGAAGCTTCTTTGTATCACACTTAAAAATGAACATGTTCTTTATTGCTAGATAAATCATCGATGCAATTAAAGAAACTATCACTACAGGATATTACAGGAATACAGTGAACAACTTTATATTCATAAATTCAACAACTTAGAAGAAATGAATTTCTTGAAAATCACAAACTTCCGAAACTCAACCAAAATGAAACAGACAATCTGAATAGTCCTACAATCATTTTAAAAACTGGATTTGTACTTAAAAATCTCCTAAAAAAGAAAATTCAGCCCCATTCGATTTCACTGGAGAATTCCACCAAACATTTAAAGAAGAATTCATTCAATTTTACACAATCTTGTTCAGAAAATAAAAGAGGAGGAAACACTCCCCATCTAATTTCATGAGGCATATTATTACCCTGATACCAATATCAACCAAGAAGTACAAAAATAAAACTACAGACCAATATTCCTCACGAATTTAGATGCAACAATCCTCAACAAAATACTAGCAAACTGAATCCAACTATATATAGATATGGATAAGATATCTATCTACCTATTCATAAAATACACCATGACCAAGTAGAATTTATTCCTGGTAGACAAAGCTGGTCCAACATCAAAAAATCAATGTAATCCATTATATCCACAAGCTAAAAGTCACCAGCAATTCTACATAAAGTCAGTGTTTAATTTCAGGATTTCTCCATTGCGTGTATAGGCACCAACTAGCCTTCACTGTGTTGCCCCATGGGTACTGTATGTCAGACAATCAGTGCTATGAAGTTCCTCTGGCTGGTGCTTTTGCTGACAGTAATAAACTGCCTTTATCTCTGACCCAAACACCTTGTGTTTTCTGTATTTGTGTGCAAGTGTATATTTGTGATTTTACCTTTCTTAAAGCTAATAATTTAGCCAGTTACAGTTTTATCTAAATGGCAGGCTAACTTGTTAGCTTGCAAGTAAGATGAGAATCTCACACCCTTCACAGTTTGTAACTTAATAGCTAATGTCCACCAAAGGGCATCTATTACAGAAGGCATTTTTGATCAGGTGGACAAAATAGTATGCTCTGTGAATGTCAGCAAGCCTCTTTCCCCATCTACCAGAGAGATCATGGCCTCAATTAGCCCATGAGTAAAGTGGCCATGGTAGCAGGGATGGACATTATACATGGGCTCAGCAACATGGACTTCCCCTAACCAAGGCTGACTTAGATAATGCTACTACTAAGTGCCAAATCAGTCGTCAAGAACAGAGATCAACACCAAGTCCTGATATGGCAACATTATCTGGCCAATAAGCCACCTCCTGGCAGGATGTTTATATTTGACCTCTTCCATCATGGAAGGGGCAGAAATTCATTCTTATTGGAACAGATACATATTCTGGATATGGATTTGTCTTTCCCATCTGCAATGCTCCTGCCAGCACCACTAGTTGTGGTCTCAAAGAATGCCTTATTCACTATATAGTATTCCCCATAGCACTGCCTCTGGTCAAGAAATTCATCTCACAACAAAGGAAGTGCAGCATTAAGCTCATGCCCATTGAATTAACTGGTCTTACCAAATACTTTATCACTCTGAAACAGCTGGTCTAACTGAAAAGTGGAATGGCTTACTGAAGATTCAATTATGTTGCCAACTGGAAGACAACATCCTCAGAAGGTAGATACGGTCTTTAGAAATGCAGTATATGCTCAAATGAGCATAAGTCACTGTTGCCTCCCCCATGGCTGCTAGGTCCCTGGCACTTACAGAGCATTATTGGCCCTACCAAATCAATGGGGGGATTTTTTAATATACACCCCCAGTGAATTTTATAATTCACACCCCCAGTCCACAAGATTTTAGGCCCTCAGGGGTTTTAGAAACCCAGAGACTCCTCAACCCCAAGAAGACCCTATAGGCCTCAGGGCCCACACAAGTTTTCCCACTTAAAGCAAATGGAGGAGGAGCACTAGGGCCAAGGTGATGCTGTTCTTGATTCACATGAATGTATTTACAAATACTATTCTCAACAATAATGTTTTTATTTAGGTCTTGGCTCATGTTGAAAACAGTTGTGATGGTTGCTCATGCAATGTTATAAATGTACACTCACACCATGTACAATAGTCGTCAAAAAGATTACCATGAATAAATCCTCAGACGGAGATGTTCACACAAAAGCAAATAATATCCAAAAACTTTCAGCAGCTTTCAGAAGCATTCTCACGAGAAACTAAGCAGAAAAAAATAAAATGCCACCTATAAAGTGCTTAAAGAAATATTTAAGGTTATTCTCTTAAGAAACCCACACTACATCTGAATATAAACATAGGTTTAGAGAAAAGAATGGAGATATAACATGCAATCGCTAACCAAAACAAAACTGAAAAAACTCTGTGAATACTAGATACACTGATGTCACCACAAGGAATATAATCCAGGATGAGGCGCAACATTACACAATGTAAATGAGACCAATTATCCAAGAAAGCATAACAATTCTAAATGTGTATGCATCTAACAACAGAGCTTCAAAATACAGGAGGCAAAAACTGATGGAACCGAAAGAAAAAATAGAAAAGTCCCTAACTGGAGACATTGACATTTTTTTCAGCGGAAAGAAAATCAGTAAGGATTTCAACATAAACAGCATTACCATCCAAATAAACAGAGGGAGAGGGAGAGAGAGAAACTTAAGCAGGCTCCACACTGAGTGCAGAGCCTGATGCGGGACTTGATCTCATGACACAGAAAATACAAGGAGCCTGGAGCACCTTGTATGTCAAAAAGTAAGGAAGTGCTTTAGAAACAATGATAAGGATTTGTTAAAAGGACCCAAAAGCTAACCTGTGATAGCTCTCAATGCCCAAGCTGGAACAATCTGAGCAACATAATAATATAATAGCATCAGATGAAATGAAAAAAGTGGGGAGAAAGGAGTTGATTTGAGAAAAGGAGCAACAACACCAATGAGTCTTAAATGAATTTTGCTAAGTGAAAAAAGCCAAACTCAGGAGATACATATTATATAATTCGGTTGACATTCCGAAAAGGACAAAGTTGTAAAACATAAAACGGATCGAAGCATTGGGTGAGAAAGATGGGTTGATTAACAATGGAGAAGAAAAAAATAGATTATCTATGAGCCTGTACTGACATAAATACATGATGGAATAAATAAATGGGGAAAATGAAAACCTTTCCTTAAGAATCCCAATAAATATAGAAGAAGTAAAACAGAAACATCACCATTTAGAACACCACAGTAAAAGTGGTTGCAGGCAAGATCCAGCAATGAAAGTTAAAATTAGTGGCCAGAACTCTAAATAGAAACAGTATGCTTGGGTAACTTCAGAGGGTCTCCCCTCAAATTTATTAATACACGTGGTGGTTTTAAAATATGACCACAAATTCCAAATGGAGCTAATTTCCTCTGTCCCCTGAGTGTGCATTGGACTTAGCAACCCACTCTTAAGTGCAAACTGGAAATGGAAAAATCCTAACTATATAGTGGAGAAACCTGTCAGATACCATCTTAACCTAGTAATAAAGGTTAGTATGATAGTTGATATCATGTGTCACCTGATATATAGGTAGGGCACATCTTCCCAAGGGATTCTTCCTAAAAATTTATAACCTCGGTCCAATAAGGAGAAAACATTAGACAAACATAAATTCAGGGACATTCTTCACAATACCTGACTATTCTTCCGCCATGTGAAGGTCATGAAAGACCAGGAAAGACGAAAAAACTCTTACAGATTGGAGCAGACATGATGATTAAATGTACTGCGGTATCTGGATAGAATCTTGGATCAGTAAAAGGACGTTAGTGGAAAACTTGACGGAATCTGAATAAACTCTGTAATTAATTAATAGAATTGCACCCGAGTTACTTTCCTAGTTTTGATAAAAGTACCATGGCTCTGTAAAATGTTAACATTGGGGAAAGTTGGGTGAAGTATATACGGGAGGTTGCGGGAGATGACAGCGTGCTTTCAAGTTTGGTACACGAACAGTTTTTTACACATGAACGGTTTTTAGTATTAATACCGAATTGCTAGCTCGCTGCTTCTCTCATTCGAGAATAACCATGCTGGCCACAGATACCATGTACATAAATGAAATTCAAGCACAGCTTTCTTTCTCTCGGCTTGTGTCTAAAAGGTGCACTGCTTTGATGCACAGGTCGAGGGGCAAGGACAGAAAGCACCGTGGCTCCAGGCAGCAGGCATGAGTATCTCAGTAATCTCTCAACTCAGCAGTCGGCAGAAACTCTCCAGCTGATTTCTCAAGAAATGGGCATGGTGCACACCGGGGAAGAGAATCTCGAGAGAGGTACTAACAATTTACCTGCTAGATCTACGTCTAAAGGCCTCTTCACTAAAACCCTGCTAGCTCGGCACTATTAGCTTACTCTTTACGACTAGGAGGTGAGGCATCCCTTCTAAGGGTAGCGCTACTTTCCCAGCCCAAGCGGCGAGGAGCGGAGTTCCAGCTACCCGCCGCCGCCGCGCCGCTCCCTCCGTCTGCGCATGTGCATCCCCGCCTTCTCCTCCCGGCTCGTCCTTCCCCGGCCTCCAGCCCCTCGTGGGAAACCTTCCCTGGCTTCCGGGTCCACGCGGCGAGGGAACTGCGGGTGAGCCCCGGGGGGTGGGGGCGTGGGGGCGTGGGCCGAGAGGGCCCTGCGCGGCTCGGGGGGTCCGGCGGGGGCGGCGGTGCCGGGTGGTGGGTAGGAGCTCCGCGGACACCGGAGCGACCCCAGGCGTCTGCGGCGCCTACAGAGTTGAGAGGACGGCGGGCGGGGGCGTCTCTAAGGGACCAGGGTCCCGCGTGGGAACGTGGGCTCTCGGGCTCGGAGGGTCCGCAGGTGTCCAGCCCCAGCGCTAAGCTGGCTGCGCCGTCGTGCGGCCGCGGGTGGGGAGTGCGCGTGCGTGACGTGTGCGCTGGGCCCACGGGGAGGGGGTGGGGGCTCCGGGAAGGAGTGAGCGCGCGTGCGCGACGTGCGTGCGCGCTTGACGTTGTGACGTGTGTGCGTGCGTCGTATGTGCGCCGGGCTTACTAGGAGGGGCGCGGTTGTAGGAGAACCAGGCAGGGCGTCAGATGTGAATGAATTGCTCTGACCGAATAGTCGACATGAGGCTCGGTCTCCTTATCTGTAAAGTGTGGATATAAGTAATACTTGCCGCATGGCATTGTTCTGAGCACTCACATTTTGCTAGCTGTTATTGTATTTGTTTGTTATGTATGTAATACATGCGGCTGGAGCTTGGACAAGTCTCTAGGGCCTTCATTGCTCAGTTAACTCATTTGTGCAATGGAAGAGGGAAGAGGCTGGACTAGCTAGCCACCAAGGCCCTTTCCTGGCTCTAACATTCCCCAGGTCCCCAGTTATTATTTATTATGTATTCATTTGTTATTTGTTATGTATAAGCATGACAGTATCCTGAAGCCATCGAAGGCTGTGTGACGGTGGAAGGTCTGGGACAAATTTAAGAAGAGCGAGGTGAGCTGGAGCTGAGAGGGGTGGGCACGCAGGCTACACAGGAGATGTGACCTCTTTAGAGAGTTTGTGAGGGCATGGTCGGGAATGAAAGGCTCAGCAGCCATAGCGAAGGAAATTCTGTCCTCACCCCTCCCCAAACACCCCCTACTCCCCTTATTTTCCGTTCAGTATTTCCCATTGTTGATGGCATCTAGAAAAATGCTGAGAATGGCATCTAGAAAGATGCTGAGGTTCCCGCTCTCCTGGCTTTATAGACGCGCAGGATGGTAGTGCAGGCAAGAGGTTATCTGCTTTGACCTTATTTGAAAAATGAAAAAAGGATTTTGAGTCTGAGAAGGTGACTGATGGAGATCATGCAGTTTGTTAGTTGCAGAACCATGGTTAAAAGTCAGGTCTGCAAATTCCCAAGCCCCTGCCCATTTTGTCACTGTTAAGTCAAAGATAGTTTCTTAATTAAAAGACCTTTTAAAAGTTGTAAGAAGGTTAGAACAAACATTAAACAATTTTTTATCTTGCCTTAAACACCCCCATCTCTTTTTTTCAGAGGTGTCTTGGATTATCTGACCTCAAGGGATTCATAGTGTTAACAGGAAAACAGATTAACAATGTGGCTTGAGATTTTTAATTTTTCCCTACCACATCAGTTCTGACAAATCCATAGTGTTTCCTCCTTTAGGTTACTGTTAAATGTTAAACTCATCTTCTCATGTTTTTAATTTTTCTGTGTCACAGAACCTAAATTGGTAATAAATCAATAAGAAACAAATGTTTACATTCACTCAGTGAAAAGTATCATGTCTAAGCTCAACATATATCGGAGCCACACATGGACACGTAAGTATCTTGTATGTGGAGCTGTGTAGGCAGGTAAATCCAGGAACTGCAAGGCAGGCCAAGTCTCTCCTAACTTCCTTCTTCCTTCCTTTTTCCTCAGCTCTCCCTCCTTCACTAAGAGCAGAAAATGAACAGATCCCAGGTGAGCTTTTTGTTTGTTTATTCCCACTTTGTTTTAAAATGGGTATTCTAAAGTTTGTAAGGATTCATATTTTTACGAGAAAAGAGAACTACGCAAGAATTACTTGAAGGGAAATATGTCGAGAGTAGCAAATTCAAAGAGTTGGTAGAATTAGATGTAGGACTCTTAATTTTATGGAGTTGTGCAAGTTGTAAAATTTTCTCTGATCTTTCTAATCAAAACACTGAAATTGCCTGTAATCATCTGATAGACACAGCACCGTGCCAAAGATGTGTGGATGCTTTTCAGGGGACCAAAAGTGAGGTTTGAGTAGACAGCTCTCTCATGGTCCTGCTTAATCCAGGAATGAGACTTTGAAGATCTGGCAGAATGGAGGGACCGGACATCCTCCAGATAACTCTCCATAACTGTTTGCGTCAGCTTGTTTGTATTTCTAGCTTGAGTAGCAGACTGTTCTGGTTTTGGTCTCTGCATTTCTCATTTGCATTTCAACCTCATGAATGCATTCTTGCTCCTTCACCACCACTCACCTGAAGCAGTTCTGGAAAAGGCCACCAAATTGTAGTCAAATCCAGTTTTTGTCTTTGTCTTACTTGACCTTCCTATGGCATAGTCCTCAGTCTCTGTTGTCTCTGACACCTCCCTCCTAGCTCTCCTTTCTTAACTCTGATACATTCCCTTCCTGTTCCTCACGAAGTTGTCTTTCCCTTTTGCCCCAGACGTTGCCTCTCCTTGGGTTTATTGCTTACCCATCCTTGGCTCACTGCTTTTTTCAGTCTATCTTTTTTCCTGACTGGTTTTGTCTCTCTTTTTTTTAAATAAAATACTTCTGAATTAGTAATTTATTAACATGGTTAAAAGGTTAAGTGATGTTCCCTCTAGGAAGGGTGACATTTATTTCTCATCTAAATGGAGACACTTCCACTGAGAATGAAAGAGGTTCTATAAAGTTATGACGGGACAACTGGCATATGTTGGGACAGTCCCAGACAAACTGGAATATAGGGTCATCCTGCTGTAGATATCTGTCTTTCTTGTTTGTCCTCCCAGTGTTTCTTTTTTCAGTTAAAGAATATTCTTGTATGCCCCCTACTTTTATTTAGAAGGGAATCCATCATCCTTAAGGCTTTTCAAACTTAGATGCACCTGTACCTCACTGGCATCCTGTTAAAATGCAGATTTTGATTTAGTGGATCTGGTGGGGCCCTGGGTTTTGCATTTCTAAAAAGCTCCCAGGTGAAGCTGACTCTGCTGCTCAGGGAACTACACTTTGAGTAGCGAGTCTATACACAATTTTCCATTCTTTCTTTGCTTTTTTTCACTTTTTTCAGCCTGTCCCAGACATCTTTCTGTTAACAGAACATGGATTGCTTCTTTCTTTGTTATAACTGCACAGTAATTCAAGCATGGATGTTCCATTGTTTATTAAACTGGTGATTATTACTTATGAATTATTTCAAACCTTTTGCCACTACAAACCATATTCTAATGAATGACCTTGTACATATAGGTTTTTTCTCTCAGATAAATTCCCAGAAGTGCGTTGCCAGGTCAAAGGGTGAATATAATTGATACACTTGATCAGTTGGGATTATGGTATCATTTTGTGTCACTCCCATTGACACTGAGTGAGTGCTGTTTTGTCCACAGCTTCTCCCATAGAACATGTGGTTCAACTTTTGGAATTTTGGCAATGGATAGATAAAAAGTGGTATTTTATGAAGTTTGTATTTGCAATTTTTTAAACTATGAGTGAGGTTAAATTTCTTTTTCATGTATCTGAAAGATGTATTTACGTTTCTGTGAACCCTCTGTTCATATCTTTTGCCCATTTTGCTCTTAGGTTTCTGGCTTTTTTTTTTTTCTTCTTTGGTGTCTAGCTCTTTATATATTAGACATACTAATGCTTGTCTGTTATATAGGTTGCAAACTATTATTTTATGGTATATAATTTATATTTTGATAATTGACCCTGGTGTTTTCTCCCCCATGCAGGTATTCTGTTTCAGGATACCATGTTTCACTTAGTCGTTACCTTAAGCTCCCCTTGGCTGTGACAATTTCTCAGACTTTCCTTGTTTTTGATAACCTTGGCAGTTTTGAGGAGTACATTCAGTTGTTTTGTAGGATGTCCCTCAATTGGGAATTGTCTGCTGTTGTTTTCATGATAAGACTGAGGTTATGGGCTTCTTGGAGGAAGACCACAGAGATACAATGTCATTTGGTCACATCATATCAAGGGTAAGTGTTGTCAACATGACTTATTACAGTGATGTATCACTGTTGATCACTTAGCTGAAGTAATGTGGTCACGAGTAGCAGTAAAGCTACTCTTTGTTTCCTCTGTTTTCATACTGTACTCTTTGGAAAGAAGTGGGAGTTACACGATACCTCCTTCCTGCTGGAGTATCTACATAAATTATCAGGAATTCTTCACAGGAGATTTTTCTGTTCTCTCCTATTTACTAATCCATTTATTTATATCAGCATGAATTCATGGATAGTTATTTTATATTTGGTTATAGTACAATGCTGCCTTGTTTTCTTTCGCTGCTCAAGTTATTCCAGGTTGGTTATTAAAAGCATCTTCTAAGGGCGCGTGGGTGGCTGAGTCGGTTGAGTGTCTGACTCTTGATTTCGGCTCAGGTCATGATCTCAGGGTCCTGGTCTCTTTGCTGAGCGTGGAGCCTGCTTGAAATTCTCTCTTTCTCCCTCTGCTCCTCCCCCTGCTCATGCTCTCTTTCCCTCTCCTTCTCTCTCAAAAATAAGTAAATAAAATGTTTAAAAAGTACCTTTTGTTGGTTCCTGTGTCTTTTGACACACCCCGTTATTGTGTGAATACTTCTTCCTTCCTCCCTGTTAGTTGGTTTTCCAGGTTCATCTTACATCTTTCCTGCTTTAGAATTAGCCTTTTTTTTTTTTTTTCTAAATAGCTCTGGTTCTTTTCATTGGAGCATAGTATGAGAAACCAAGATTGGGGGACTAGGTGTGTCTGTTGCTACTGGTGTGTCATTGCTCGCAGACCCTCCCAGCTAACTGAAAGAGGAAATACACGCGTATACTCTCTCATGTATATACAGGTGTCTATAAATATTTCAGTATGTAACCATCTGTATATTAAGCTAAGTATTAGTTCACACTGTTGTCTCCTGTTGTAATCATTACCACATGGAACATTGTAACCTTCTCTCCTTGTTTGTCTGTAATCTCCACTCTAACAATGAGAATCCAGCTGACATCATCTGAATTTCATTTATTTGATAGTTCAATTCCAGAATACACATACATGATTTCAGAGTTGTTAACCCATGGACTCTTGATTCTTCCAGTTTGGGGCCATTATGAATTAAGGTGCTAGAAATTTTCATGTGTAGGTTTTTAAGCAGACATAAGTTTTCAAACACATAGGGTGTGAAATTGCTGGGTCAGTTTTGTATGTATGTATGTATGTATGTATAGTTTTGCAAGAAATTGCCAAAATATTTTTTACAAAGGTGCTGTATCAGTTTGTGTTCCTACCAACTACAAATCAGAATCTTTGTTGTTCTGATTCTGGACCTGAAATTGGTATTGTCATAATTTTGGATTTAAATTTTAATTTAACACATTCTAATAAATAATGTCATGTTGTCTGCATTTCCCCACTAATAGGTGATGTTGAGCATCTGTTCATATATATATTTGTTATCCTTATATCTTTGGTGAAATGTTTGTTCAGATCTTTTGCCCATTTTTCAATTGGGTCATTTGTTTTCTTCTTATGAAGCTTTAAGACTTCTTTTGTATTTTTTGCATGCAAATCCTTTATTAGATAATGTGTTGCAGATATTTTCTTCCAGTCTGTGCCTTGTCCTCTCATTTTCTTAGAAATGTCTTTAACAGAGCAGACGATTTTATTTTTAATAATATCCAACCTATGCTTCCCCCACCCCCCATGGAATATGCTTTTTCTGTTGTATTTAAAAACTCATTACCAAATCTAGGGTCACAGAGATTTTTCTCCTATATTCTTTGTTCTGTATTTTCTTCTAGAAGGTTTAAAGGTTTGCATTTTACATTTAGACCTCATATTCATTTTTAGTTAATCCTTGTGTAAGGTCTGTGTCTAGGTTGATTTCTTTTGCATGAGTGTCCCAGTTGTTCAAGCACCATTTGTTGAAAGCCTATCTTTTCTCCTTTTATTGCCTTTATGCCTTTGTCAAAAAACATTTGACTCTATTTTGGTAGATCTATTCCTGGATGCTCTGTTCTGTTCTGTTGATCTGTGTGTCTCTCTCAGCACTAACACACTGTCTTGGTTACTGGTAGCTTTATAGTAACTCTTAAGATCAGGCAATGTGAATTCTCATTTTTCTTCCACATTGTGTTGGCTATTCTAGATCCTTTGTCTTTCTATATAAACTTCAGAATCATTTTGTCAATATCTGCAAAATAGCTGGGGATTTTTATTTAGATTGTGTTGAATTTATAGATTAAGTTGGAAAGAATTGACATCTTAGGCATATTGAGTCTTCCTATTGATGAATATGGACTATCTCTCCATTTCTTAAGATCTTTGATTTCTTCCATCAAATGGTGTGTTTTTCTATATATACATATTGTGTTAGATTTTATACTTGAGTACCTTTTTTGGGGGTGCAATCGTAAATGGTATTTTCAGATATAGGAAAACAGTTGACTTTTTTTATTGACCTTGTATCCTGTGATGTTTTGATATTTCCTTATTACTTCCAGTAGATTTTTTTCTTTCTTTTTGTAAGTTACTTGAGAGTTTCTACATAGATAATAATATTGACTTCAAATAAAGAGAGTTTGTTTTTCCTTTTCAGTGATACACCCAATTGTCTCATCCCCTCCTCCCACCTACCTTCCCTCTGGTAATCACCAGTTTGTTCTCTATATTTGGGAGTCTCTTTTTTTGTTTCTTTTTTGCTTTGTTTGTTTTGTTTCTTAAATTGCACATATGAGTGAAATCATATATTTGTCTTTGTCTGACTTATTTCACTTAGTATTATACCCTCTAGATCCATCCATGTTGTTGGAATTTTCAAGATTTCATTCTTTTCTCTGGCTGAGTAATATTCCATTTTATACACACACACACACACACACACACACCCCCACCCACATCTTCTTTATCCATCTTACCTACTGTAAATAGTGCTTCCATATAAATATCTTTTCCAGTCAGTGTTTTCCTTTTCTTTGGGTAAATACCTGGTGATGGAATTACTGGATCATAGGATAGTTCTATTTTTAATTTTTTGAGGAACCTCCACACTGTTTTCCATAATGGCTGAACCAGTTTTCATCCCCACCATCAGTACACAAGGGTTCCTTTTTCTTCACACTATCACCAACTCTTGTAATTTCTTTTTTTTGATTCTAACCATTCTGACAGGTGTGAGGTGATATCTCATTGTGGTTTTGATTTGAGTTTCTCTGGTGATTAGTGATGTTGAGCATCTCTTCATGTGTCTCTTGGTCATCTGAATGTCTTTTTTGGAAAATGTTTATTCAGGTCCTTTGCCCAGTTTTTAATCAGCTTATTTGGGGTTTTTTTGGTGTTGAGTTATATATTTTGGCTATCAAATCCTTAACGGATATATCATTTGCAAATATCTTCTCCCATTAGTAGGTTGTCTTTTTGTTTTATTGATGGTTACCTTTGCTGTGCAGAAGCCTTTTGTTTTGGTGTAGTCCCAAAGTTTGATTCTGCTTTTGTTTCCCTTCTCTTCAGAGACATATCTAGAAAGAAGTTGCTATGGCTGACGTCAAATAAGTTACTACCTGTGTGCTTTTCTAGGATTTTTACGGTTTCAGGTCTCACATTTAGGTCTTTAATTCATCTTGAGTTTATTTTTGTGTATGGTGTAAGAAAGTGGTCCGGTTTCATTCTTTTGCATGTAGCTAGCTGTCCAGTTTTCCCAACACCATTTGTTGAAGAGACTGTCTTTTTCCCATTGGATATTCTTGCCTCCTTTGTTGAAGATTAGCTGACCATATAACTGTTGGTTTATTTCTGGTCTCTCTGTTCTGTTCTACTTTGTTTTTTTTTTTTTTTAAGATTTTATTTATTTATTTGACAGAGAGAGACACACAGCGAGAAAGGGAACACAAGCAGGGGGAGGGGGAGAGGGAGGAGCAGGCTTCCCGCGGAGCAGGGAGCCCGATGCAGGGCTTGAGCCCTGGACCCTGGGATCATGACCTGAGCCGAAGGCAGACGCCCAACGACTGAGCCACCCAGGCGCCCTTGTTCTGTTCTACTTTGAATAGCCAGAGCAATCTTAGGGAAAAAAAACAAAGCTGGATTTGTTTCACAAATTGATCACAGTCCCGGATTTCCAGATATACTACAAAGCTATAGTAATCAAAACAGTATGGTACTGGCACAAAAATAGATAATGAAACAGGATACAGAGCCAATCACATATGTATTATTTCTGGTTTTGGTTTGGTTTGGTTTGGTTTGGTTTTGGTCTTACTGCACTAGCTAGGACTTCTAGTACAGAGTTGAATAGGAGCATTGAGGTAAGACATCCTCGCCCTGTTCCTGCCCTTAGGGGAAAAGTGTCCAGTCTCTTAACATTAAATATGATGTTAGCTGTAAGGTTTTTGTGGATGGTCTTTATCAAGCTGAGAGAATTCCCCCTATTCCTAGTGCACTGAGAATTTTCATCATGAATGGCTGTTAGATTTTGTCAAATGCTTTTTTTTCATCAATCGATTTGATCATGTAATTTTTCTTCTTTGGCTTATTGATGTGCTGGATTGTATTGATTGATTTTTTTTTTTATTATTAACATTAACCTGGCCTTCCATACCTGGAATAAATTCCACTTGGTTATGGTTTATAATTCGTTGTATATATTGTCAGATTTGATTTGCCAATATTTGAGGATTTTTGTGTCTATGCTAATGGGAGCTATTGGTCTTTAGTTTCTCATGTCTTTATCTAGTTTTGGAATCAGGGTAATGTTGGCCCTATAATATGAGTTTGGAAGTGTTATTTACTGCAGGATATTGTGGAGAATTAGTATTTTTTCCCTAAATGTTTAGTAGAATTCACTAGTGACACCATTTGAGCTTAGTACTTTGTATTTTGGGAGTGATTTGACTAGTAATTCAATTTTGTTTTTAACAGATATAGATCTGTTCAGGTTATCTATTTCTCCTTGTATGAATTGGTAGCTGTGTCTTGTAAGGAATTTATCCATTTCAACTAAGTTAATTTTTCAGGAATAGAATTGTTTGTAGTATTCTCTTATTATTTTAATGTCCTTAGGATCAGTAGTGTTGACCTTTCATTTCTGAGATTCACAATTTGTTTCTTTTCTCTTTTTTCTTGGTTAAATTTTCTGGAAGTTTATTAATTTATTGATCTTTTCAAAGAAGCAGCTGTTGGTGTCATTAATTTTCTTTTTTTTTCATGTTTTCAATTTCATTGATTTATTCTAATATTTCCTTTATTTTGCTTGCTTTTGGCTTAATTTACTTTTCTTCTATAGTGTACTAAGATGGAAACTTAGGTTACAGATTTAAAATTTTTCTTTTCTAATATAGACACTGCTATAAATTTCCCTCTATGTACTGCTCTCAATTCATCCCACAAATTTTGATAAGTGGTATTTTTATTTTAATTTCATGTACAATGTTTAAAAATTTCTTTCGAGACCTCTTTGAACTCTAGGTTATTTATAAGTGTGTTGTTTAATTTTCAAGTGTTCGAGTGATTTCCCAGATATCTCTTGTTTATTGATTTCTATTCCATTGTAGTCAGAGAACGTATTTTGTATGATAGCTATTGTTTTAAATTTGTTAAGATGTGTTTTGTGGCCAAGACTATGGTCTGTCATGGTGAATGTTACATATGAGCTAGAATAGAATGATAAAATGTGTTTTATTGTTTCGGATGGGGTATTCTGTAACTATCAATTAGATCATGTTGATGGATAGTGTGGTTCAGATCGTCTTTATACTTACTGATTTTCTGCCTCCTTGATCTCTCAGTATTGACAGAGGAGTGTTGAAGCCTCCCAACTAGGATTACAAATTTATGTATTTCTCCTTTCAGTTCTATCAGTTTTGGAGGTATGTATTTTGGTACCCTTTTGTTAGATACATACATGTTTTGATACTCTTGTTAGATTGATATATGTTTTCTCTAATAGGATTTTGAACCCATTTAATGAGTTCTTAATTCCAGTGTTGTATTTCTCAGCTCTAGAATGCCCGTTTTATCTATGTCTGTATACACATCTATCAGAGGTCCCCAAGACCATCCCCAGGCTCAGTGACTTACTAGGGTGACTCAGCAAGTGGTTCTCCTTATGGCTATGACTTATTAAAGTGCAAGAAGATAAAGCAGAATCAATAAGGGGAAAAGGTGCACACAGAGCATAGTTGAGAGGAAGCCAGGAGCAAACTTCTAAGAGTTTTCTCCCAAATCTAGCAATGAGATTGACAACAAACTTGAAATGTCTGCCACGGAAGCTCAGTAGACACCCAGGGCTCAATGTTTTTAATCGGGAGCTGATCACATTGGTACTCTCTGCTTGGCACAGAAACTTCCAGACTTAGAAGGAATGCATGTGTGCAGTATAAACCATATTGCTTACACAAACAGTTTAGGCTTAGTGAACCATTCTTATTAGGGAATTTAAGTTCCCAGATGCCAGCCAAGGGATACCCTCATAGCAGCAGACCTTTCAAAGCAGACCAGTCTCAGCCTGCTCTAGTAATTTTTTTCTGCACAGTACACATACCATATATCCATTGAACTTCTCCCAATTATTTTGTTCATATTTTCCTGTTTTATTGAACATATTAATCATAATCCATTTTGAAGTTCTTGTTTATTATTTCCAGTATTTGGGTCCCCTTTGGTCTGCTTTGTCTGTTTTATTGTCTATTTTTTATATCATATAAATGATAATATTAAAGAACTAATTTTTTCTTGGTCTGCTTTCCTTTGCAGTCTACCGTGTGCATCCCGCTAGCTCTTGTGTATAACTTAATAAATGTTGGGCGCCTGGGTGGCTGAGTTGGTTAAGCGACTGCCTTCGGCTCAGGTCATGATCCTGGAGTCCCGGGATCGAGTCCCGCATCGGGCTCC